TCAAAGAATATTTTCCTTTTCATCTTTTTACATTAATATTAATCTAATAAAATTATAATCTATACATTTGTCATAACACATTAACATGAAGCTCTCGAGTCCGATTCGATGGATAGAAAATAACGAGCACTTTGTAGACACCAATTGAGACGTTGACAAGCGTAACGCACCATTACAATACAGTCCTTAACTTTTCCAACGACGAATCGAGACGAGAGTACCGTTGAGCTCCCGCGTTTCGAGCACGTTGCATATGAAAGAGAACGAAGAAGGGAGAAGAGAGAAGGATAGTATGCGCGTGCGCACGTCATTAGCATACGCGAGCGAGAGGAGATTACTCCACACGGTAGGAGTAGAGGTATAAAACGGTGCCGACTACACGTGTAAACTTTGTCCTCGTAGAGGATTCACGCGAGGAAACGCAGTGAATTCATGAGAAGGCAACATCTGTTTGCATGCGATGCTCGATCTTCGAGACTCGCTTTGAATTCGTGGGGCCATCGTTATCGCTTCGGCAAAATTGTGCCGCGAAATCCGTTTTCAGCACGAAAAGCGTGCCTTAACGTGCTTATACAAAATCCAAATCGCACATTGTTCGTGTAATACATAGTTTCAACATAGAAAGTAAATTATTATTATTATTATTATTATTATTATTATTATTATTAATAAAGCTTTTTGAATAGAAGTTATATCAATTACCGTAATATCTCCGTCCTGTTTTATTCTAATTCTCAGGGTATTAATATGACCAAATCCATTCGTTAACAATGAATTCAATTAAGAACGAATTAAACGAATGACATGATATCGATTCTGAGGAAACCTATATCTGCCATTGAAAGTCGGGAATGATAAAAGCTTCCTTACCGAGTAAAACGGGCAAAAAGTAAAACGATCCTGGGGATCGAACGCCATGGAGTTAGCAACGACAGATCGAGGGATCGATCGGCGCATTCTCGACGAATTCTCGAACGCGGTTGTTGTTCGCCGGTACAATTAGCGCGCCGTAAATCACGAGGATAACGAGACGCGGCGCCCCGAAGGCGTCACACGCCGGTCTTGCGCGCGAGAAAGTAAAGGCGGAGGAGGTGAAAGAGGGGAGGATATGCGGAGGAGTTCCGTTCGCCAACTCTCGGCGACGTCTCTCCAACAACTTCCAACTTCTTAGGGTAGACGACGTCGCTTCGCTCTTAGATCTCCTTCTTCGTATTCTTCTTCTTCTTCTTCTTCCTCCTCCTCTTCTTCTTTTGCACTTATCTCCCCTCTCTCTCTCTCTCTCTCTCTCTCTTTCTCTCTCTCTTAAGTTTTTCCTCTTAAAGAACATTCACCCTTCGCTTTACTCTTCTCCGTTCGTTCGCAGTCGCTTCTTCGAAGTGCACCAAAACGTGGGCCAGAAAACCTCGTGTCCCATTCATCTTATAACGTTCCGTTCGAAAATAACTCGAATTTAAGAAGCTCG